GTACAATCAAACGAAGAGGAGGCAGGAACCCTAACCCTAACCCTTTTATGAATTTCCCCTTCCCTTTCTGCCACAATCTCATGATTCTCAGCAGTAAGAATTGCTGCCACCTTATGATTCCTTTTTTGGTATCACAGATCTTGAAGACACTATTTAGGCCTTGTATTCCATGCAGTGGGACTCATTTATATGTGTAAGCTGGTTTCCTTCTGGTAGAAGGAAGGGGAGACAGAATGCAAGTTAATCAAAACAGACTTACAAAGTATTTAGTACCCTGGGCAGGATAGAATCCAGACATCATCTTCACTTCTATAATGGCCATGTTAGAAACGCCCCGATTGCCAACGTAACTGTCAGAGAAATTGAACATAAGCCATTTCCAAATCAGAATTCCCATTTCTCCGTGGCATAGTGGTGCTTACTACCCTGAAGAATCATCCTTTACTCTTGAGTGATGAGGAAGCAATACTTCAGTTGGTATTTGGGACTAGCAATTCTCCCCTTTCCCCAAATACTGGCTGTACCTATTTTTCTGCCAGGCCTAGATTAAAAATTTAATTCCAGTGAGATTATTAGAAGGGTGACAGTGCTTCCCCATCACATGAGCACTTCAGCTCTGCTCTCTTGCCCATTTCCTTTTTTACTTTCCTGATGGGAATAGGGAGACCTCTTTTCAGGCACCTGAATATATTTCCTGAGACATTTGAGCCTGCTGTTACAACACTGGTCATGTTTGAAATCACCTGCTAAAAGAACTTTATAACTCAAGACCATAGAGGCAGGCAGAATGAAAGCCACAGAAAAACTTTCAGACTGAACAGTGCTTGAGTGGTAATCTAGACAAATTTATACTGAAATCTGGGAAAACTGAAGTTTTGGCAACATCATAATGTCTCACCTTACATTGATGTTGAGAGTTATGAAACGGGATACCGTCTGAATTTCACATCCTTGCCCTTCTGCTTCCACAGTTAAGGAGAAGGTCTCTGCAGTCTTCAGGGGAGGCATGTTATAGCGTAGAATGGCCTAATATGGAACAAGCACCAAAAATGTAACAGGGTTGAAGCTGTACAAAGTGGCATTTTGTCCTCCTTGAAGAAAAGCTTGGAGCTAAAAAAGCTTATCTTAAAAGAGAAACACTGAAATTCTCCCATCTGCAAGGGAGTCATTTCCCTCTCCTCAATTCCATACAATAAAAGCTTTCTTCTAACTATTATGTCCTGTGGCAAACATTTGAACTCCTTTCTTAAGTATTAGACTAGCGTCTTCAAACATGCTCTCTTTTAAGTGCTATTATAACTTTATATAAACTTTTTATTGGCCTAATCCCTGTTCCATGTCTAATATTTTTTTTTCCCCAGAGATGTTGTTTGGGTGAGAGACTCATGGCAGCTAGGAAAACAAGCTACAGTACTTTAACTTGATTGTGGTAATGTTCAAAACTGATGTATCCTCCATTGTAAAAACGTAACAATGGCCATTGTATCCTATCAGTACTGCCACAATAGGAACTCCAGTAAATGCAAATTGCTTCCTTACTTCCCAGTTGCCACTCCAGTCACAGGACTAGACTTAGTGAGAAATCCTGAATTCAGTCCTGAAGCATGCACAAGCAGTTTTTCTACATTTTTGTTTAGAAACTTTGTGCTAGGCCTATACATTACATAGCTACTTTTTCTTCCTTTCCTCTCTTCTTGTTAATCCCTTCATATTAGTCAAGACATAACTGGTGGTATTCTTTCACTAATCTCCATTCCAGATTTTAGTTTTGTACTTATATTCCATATTGTATTACAATCAGTGAGCCTCATTATCACTCCTTAGCAAGTGCTCCATTATGCATTAATCTTTTAATCAGATTTTGGAGAATATAGGGTAGCCAGGTGCCCTCCATTAATTTCTGTGAACAACCAGAAATCTTTTCATATACACCTGTGATCAAGGACTCATAGTAATCATAAATATGAGAAAAGAAGTTATAAACCACTTGATTAGTTGGGTAAACACACAAATATGTGGGTTTTTTCTTCTAATGCTTCAAACATGTCACCTTTTCTTAAAAGCTTCATTCCTTTTTAAAATACAGAAAATACAGAACTATATACTGTATGACTCTTGAATGCACTTATTGGACCTTTATTTCAAGAAAGACACCTGAATTTCTTTACATTTATTGTGTTCTTATGTGTAGGTTTTCAAAACAAAAAGGTACTCACTGAATTTATGGAACTAATCATGCTTGTGCTTCATGGTATATATGATGACCTCTGTTATTTTACTACATTTTCTGTTATATACAGTACATCTTTCATTTTTATGATGGTCTATGACCATAGTAAAATTGATCTAATCTGAACTAGTAAATCACTAGATGCACTCTGTGTTTCAAGGATTTATAATATCTAACCAAACTACCACTGCTGATGACAACAGTAAGAAGCCCAGTGATCACATGATCCAAGGACATGAATTATTCTGATAATATTGTTGGTTTATTAAGTCTGGTATTACTTTATCTAATTGGTACCACAGAAAGTACCATAGGTCTGAAGTTGTAATTACCACAGATCTGTAACTACCATAGGTCTGTAACTACCAGCTGTAACTACCATAGACTTGAGGCCTTTTCTAATTTGAGGGCCATTTAATTAGACATGTTGCAGATTGAATTTATGCATGAGGAATCATGTATCTTCAGCTTTAGAACTTCCTTGGCTAGAGTTGTTACCAAAATCTGTCAGACTCCTTTCACTGAACCACTTCCCTGTTGGCCACCTTCAATAAAGAATCATCACTGACCTGTATGTAGACACAACCTTCACCAGAAGCCTGCACTGTGTACTCCCCAGGAATATCTGGCAAGGTTGACAGCTGAAGTAATAGCTGATTGGTATTATCCACATGGAATGATTGTTGAAAGGTCTTAGATTTCACTATGATCGAGAGCTCTCCAGATCCAACATATGTCACTGCCCCATATCTAGCTAGGGCTTGAAGGGCAACCACAGTATCCTGAGAAAGGAGAACAATTGTACCATGATCCATGAAGTCCATCATATTGCCTTGTGGAAGCAAAATATAAGATCAAGCTATCCAGTATATTTCAATGAACTATAGAGACAACTTGTTGAAACATCAGCATCTTTTAAAACTTGTGCAGTAGAAGATAGAGATGCTAGCATGGTTTTATGTTTCATAGCGTAATATGGTGCTCCAGGGTTGAACCAGCCCCTCCCACTGAGGTCCTTCGGTTCTGTGGTAATTCATGCCTTGGGGTGAACTGCAACTGGAAAAGTATGTCTCCTTGCTGCCACCACCCCTTTGTTACCATCCAGCTTCTCACTTGTTCACCACATCTCTGGAAGAACCAGGAGAGGACTGAAAGGGAAATCCTCACCCCACTCTGAGTCTGGCTAAACTCCCGGAATGGAAACCAAACAAAACTTTGGGGAATCAGTAGCTCAGCCAAGTTGATGCAGGTGCTAGAAGGCAACCAGTCAACTCCAGGATTAAAAAAGTCAACTTTATTAAAAGTGACAAAGAAGATACAGTTCCACTCACTCAACACAGTAAAAAAGAGACAAAGACCAAAACCCTAAAGATATTCTAGCCTGTAACAAAATAACTCCTTATTTCCCAGCCTTGCCTGAGATAACCCCTCTCAACTAGGCCTCTAGCCACCTCCAAAAATGCCACAAAACTCTTCCCACCCAAACCCCCTTCTTTTTCTCTATTGGCTCTCAGGGGTTAGATGACTGCCTCTGGTCAACATAAGGCTGGTTTGTTATTGAAAGGGTCAGCTGCTTCTCACTGCAGGTAGTTTCACTTTTTTGAGGTCTGAAGAGCAATTCAGTGTAGGTTGATTGGGAAAGAGATATAAAGAGGACAGGTTACCTACCAAATTCTTAAAATATCCAATCTCCCCCATTGAGCCAAATAAATGCAGAACAAATTTGATCCATCTGATAACAGAACTCTCCCCTTGCCTCCCCCATTTAAATGCCATGAGCATGTTTGGCAAATATGATTATTATTGCAGGATTCTTTGTAGAGAATGCCAGATGCTAGGGTCAAAAAGTGCCAAAAGGAGCCTAAAGAATTAGATGCAGTCAATAGTTGCAGTAGGATGGAGAATTTCTAGAACATCAGGCAATCTTCATGCTTCAGAAGCAGCAGCAGTTTGTTTACCATCTTAACATCTTATGATGATGACACATAACACATGAATTTCATCCTTTCAGAAAATATTCTTGCTCATAACCTTCTTTGAGGCAAAAGATGAGCCAGAGTTGTTTTAGAAGGAGAACTATACTTAAATCCCATTTGCCGACAACTTTCATTGTTGATCTTGGATCACTTACTCTTGGGAAGAGAGGGTAGAAGTGGAGCAGATAAGGTTTTAAAACCTAGTTCAATTTGGCTCATTTGTTATCCTTTCCAAGAATATTTATTTTCTGCATCCACATTTGGAGACAGCAGTGTGGGGTGCAGGGACCTTTTTGGAAGAGAAAGGGCTTACGTTACCTGAGTTGAGGCAAAGCCTCCATAGGCGTTTTGCTGCTTGACCAGCCAATTCACAATGCCTGTGGCCTTCCCAATATCTTCTTTGATCACCTTTCCACTGGTGACGGTAGCCAGCAATACATAGCCTGTCAGCTCCACACTCACAGACTCAGGTTGGGACCAAGGGGTCTGGCTAGGAGTTGAGGCAGGTTTCCGGCTCCAATAGATCTGCCCTCCTATAGGAGAAAAGAAATGAAGCTTACTGCTTAGAACAGCAGCAAATAATTTGGTATTATTAACAAGATCAGTGTAACCTCGAATAAAGAAAGATTAGCTCCAGTCTTTGTTGCTGGACAAGAATTAGGAGGGTTTTTTCCTACAAGAAGATGTAGACTGCATTGTGAAGCAGTACCAACTGTTCAAGGAGGCTGTCTTCCAGTATAGGAAAAAGAAAAACTTCTCTTATTAAGTCTTAAGCTTAGTGACAATGAAATGTTACCACAGGATGGGAAAAAGAAAAGAGTTTCTGGGACATGAATGAGGTTTTTTTGGGGGGGGTGTTAATTTTTCCCCATGTCTTCAAAAGAGGTTGGAGCTAGTAAAGGAATCATTTAACTAATAGCCTTGGACAGATTCCAAAGATGACTACTGAAACAGTGTTATTTCCAAAACAGTTACAGTCTAATGACGATAGTGGCTATAAAACTTGGTTAATTCTAAAGGAAAAAGCTGAAAGCACATATAACTGCATACAAGATAGCTCTACTTATTTAATCTCAGTTTAGGGATTTTTATTTTACCTTTCTAAAATATATAAACAGTAAGTCCATACATTTTAAAACAATCCAATGTATAACAGAAATCTAAAATAAATTTTTAAAAATCTCTTAAAGAAAGCAAGTTAAAAGCAACAGTAATAAATTCACATTTAAAAAGAAGAAATTCCATGCTTGAACTCATGATTCTGGATGAAAAGATGTTCCCTGCTTGAAAAAAGAGGCAGGTGTGAGAAACCCTCTGCATTTTGATATAATTCAACAGTCCCTCTAGTCTCCCACGCTCATTCACCTACCTCTTGTGTTTGCTCACTCTTGCAGTCATTTTGCTTAAAAACAGATGATGGGGGCTGTGGACAGGCACTGGTAGGGAAGCTGCTCACTTCAGCTAGGGCCACCCTGCCACATAAGTGGCCAATCAGTTGGGGCACTTTATAAGCAACTGTCTAGATTACTTGACCCATGCAGAGGAGGGCTGGTCAGGCTTTAAGCTCTGATCACTCTTGCTGCCCAAGCCAAAATGGCCACAGAGGGAAGTCACCTGAAAGGGCGGGGACACGCCTGCAGCAGCTGAAAGGCAGCCAACAGGAGCTGGCAGATTCCAGCCACTGCTTCATCATCACCACAGTTGCTACCAAAGTGCTCCCCATCATGCATATACAGCAAAGCTTGTTTTAGATGAAATTGGGGGGGGGACTCTTTAGCATTGGATTAGATCATTATGGAGCTAGGCAGCCTTGGCTAGGGGTTGGGAATATGAGGAAGGGTGCATTATGAGGATATGCTCTTCAATAATAGTTAGGGAGGCACCTTTGTACCAATGTTAGAGGAATGTGTGGATATGCCCTTAGACTGAATTTATTTTATTTCAGATTCCCTGTTTGTAAGTGTTTCTTCTGCTTGTTCTTTCTATAGTCCCTTTTTCCCAAATAAATGCCTTTTCAGATACAGGCATATAGCTGTATAGTTGTTTTAAAAGAGTATTTCTTCCTTACACTGAAGACTGCATACTTACATAGTGTAATTTCTTGTACTTTCAGGATGTTTACAAGGTTTTTAAAGTTCTACCTATCTCAGCTTTGGAGAGGAAAACCCAAAGCCACTTTCTTATATTGGCAAAAGGTCTCAGAATTCACCAGCAAGGGTGTGTCAGGAAGACTGAGTTGACTGTTAACAATTGATCACAATTACTTTTTTTTTTTAACTTGGGATTTTGAAAGAAGAGTTCTGTCAGGATAAAATCAGGTGGTAACAAAGGCAGGGAGAAAGAGGTTTGAGAAACTTTAAAGCATGTTATACTGTACTCTAACCTGTAGATTGATCTAGTACGGTATCAAGCACTATAAAACATACAATTTACTTAAATCTATGAATCAGTTCTAAGTGTATCATGGTTGATGCAATGCTTCCCTCAGTACCTGGCAACTTGATGGCCTGCTGGTCTAACTTGGCAAGCAATTTTTGTCTGAGGACGGTATCTCCAGCCAGAGAAAAAACGTATGCCAACAATGCCTGTGTATAAACATCTGTTGTACTGGAAACAGCCTTTCTGAGACAGTTCAAGCCTTCCTTCACCATTGGATCCTGATTGGGAAAAAAAAACATGGTTCCTTTGACAAAAATTAAGAAAGGGGATGCTAAGGGTTAATTTGAAACTTTATTACCATCACTGACCAGAGGACTATTATAATAAACAAAAAACATTTAGAAAACATCCAACACTCCTCAGATATAAGCAAATTACCAGTGGCTATAGGTAGTCATTTTGTCCTGTGAGAGTGACCTCACGGTGTATCCTTGTCACTCAGTAGCAAAATTTAGCCATGGATTAGGTGTCTTTAGGATTTCTGTCAGTCATAAGATAACTTACCATAACATTCTGACCAAGAAAATTCTTTAAAAATAAAGGAAGGTAATAAAGTAACTATCATTTCAAGTCAGATAAAAAACCACAACCTTCATAGATCCAATCACATCATGAGCATAGGCTTTGCAATACTGAAAGTTTGGGGAATCTCCCCTCCAAGATGGCAAAAGGGAGATGTTAAAGCAGGTCTTGTTAAAGGTCCATCTATAATTGGAATAAGGAAGAGAATACAGATATTTGGCAGGTTCAAGTCTCTGTACAGGTAGTCCTCGCTTACTGACTGCCTCGTTAAGTGATTATTTGAAGTTGCGACAGTGTAAAAAAAAAAACAGTTTTGTGACCAATCTCACATTTGTGATCATCGCAGCATCCCATGGTCATGTGATTGCCATTCGGGTACTTCACAAATGATGCACATTTACAACTGTTGCAGTGTCCTGCAGACACGTACTCATCATTCGCATGCTTCCTAACCAGCTTGTGACAAGCAGAAATAATGGAAAACATAGAAGTAAAATCGTAAGTCATGGTCACGTGATGTCTCACTTAGCAACCATGGTAATTTGCTTAACGGCCAAATGGGAAGTGATGTCGTAAGCCTGTCACAGTCACAGGATTTTTCACTTAGCGACCGCAGTGCTCAGCAACAGAGTTGCCAGGCCCAATTGTGGTCGCTAAGTGAGGACTGCCTCTATTTTCCTCAGTGGTTGGGAAAGTTTTCTAATATGGCTCAGCTCACATTGTAACTCTATGTCTCTAATTTCTTAGGCTAGCAGAAACTCAGGAGACAGAGTGATTAAACACATTTTACTTATACAGTGGTACCTCGGGTCACGAACGCTTCTGTTCACGACCAATGCGGTTCACGAACAGCTCCGGTCGAAAAATTTTGCCTCCGCGAATGCTGGATCGGGTGACGAACAGGATCCGCGGCCATTTTCCCTCCCGTGACACGGTCCGCGGCCATTTTCCCACCCATGACACGTGATCCGCGGCCATTTTTTCGCCCCTGACACATGATCCGCGGCCATTTTCTGCCCTTACACCTGGGCCGCGGCCATTTTTCCGCCCC